CCTAAGACAAGGAGCATAATTTATTGGGTGTACCCGTAAGAATGATGAACTAGGAAAAGGTTCTTTCATCCAGGAGTTGTAGGCAGGCATCTGGGGGCCTTGTGACTGCTCTAGGAGCAAGGCTTAGACCTTGACTTAGAACAGTGCTATCAAAAACATGAGGTACACAGTCACTCTCTATGCCATGCCCATGGCTGACATTCCTAAGTGATCACTGCACACTTTTTGCTCAATCCAAAGGCAACCTCAGAATCTTTCTGGGCACAGACATCAGAGAGTCACAAGATAAAACCTACGTGCTATCTCTAGTTTAGAGTATGAGGTAAAGGAACCAAATGTTAATTAGAACAGAACCTATATGTCTTGAGAAAGCACTAAAAACAAAGATCTAGGTCAGAATAGAAGGGCAAACTTGTAGGGACTGAAACCAACAAGGCATTCAGGAAGTGGCAGTAGAGGACACTAGCCAGGCTGAGTCTCCATGAACAACTTAAGCAAATATTTCCTCAAGTCTCTTTGGCCTTAACGGGGCTGTGTGCCCGTCCTGAACTAAGCACTGCAGGCAGATGTGTGGGTTGTGCTGATTGGTTTAATGAAATCAGAGCCCAGCTGTGGAACTAAACCACATGTCTCCCTATGGGCGCTGGGGTACTCTTACCATGGAAAGAGGAGCCTTGATGCTGAGAAATAAACAGCAGGTGTTATTTATACTAGAGTAGAATGTATAAGAATTAGAATCAGAGAGCACTCCTAGAAGGACAGGTGAGGTATCTATAAAGGTGCACAGTGACATCAAGGAAATTATTTCCAAGGAAATTATTTCTGGGGACAAGGCAGGAAGTGCTTTCCTTCTCTAAGGAGACCTAGGAATCCACACCTGCCACAAAAAACGAGGAAGCAAGTTTAGGTTGAAACTCAGCATATCTCCAATCCTTGGAAAGGTACCTGCTGGAGTTTTCCTGGGCTTAGCATTTTAGACTGACTTTCCAACATGATAGCAGTGTGACAACTTGAAAGCAGTTAGGAACCAGGTCCTAGAGCCCAAAGACAGTAATATTATAGTAAGATATAAATGTCATGTGTGCAAACACTCTATGTTCATAATTTTGTTCCGATGAGTATTTCCTCAAAGTGCTTAGCAACAAATTCCTGAAGTCAGAAACGTCCTAAATGCTTGTTTTCTAGGAAAGCAGAGGAGGCAGCTGGGGCATTGATTGCGTCCCATTTCTTGTCACTCCTGGAGAGAGAAAATCTCCAATGGGCAGCTTTGAAAGTCAGGGCATCTGGATGTCTGGTACCTGCAGAAAAGAGGCCAGGTGATGAGAGGACAGGTGATAGAGGCAGCAATGAGAAGCAGTGGAGTGGGCTTAAATGGGTTATAGAGGAAGAATTCATTAATAAGAAGGCCTTCAAAGGAAAAAGATGGAAGTCTGTTACAGTTTTTGCAGTTAGGTTCGGTATCTTTTAGCTACAAACTCATGTATTTGAAAGTGACAAACATAGAATAGACTTTGAGTAAGATTTGACCCAGCAACTCAAAGGATTCAGTTATTTCCCATCCCCACTCTCTTCATCCTAAACTGGCTCTCTTCGTTGTTGCAAGATGTTCATCAGTAGCTACTGGGGGACCTCTGAAAGGACCTCTAATTGGACTGCCTGAAGTCTTGTGACACTACCTTTAAGCCAATTTTTGTATAGTGGGGAGGGCTATCAGGTTCTCACCAGAGGTGGCTGTTTTACGGACACATTTCCATAAAAGGGGGAGATACCCTTTCCCCTGCCCTCACATGTGGCCTCCTTGGACTAGCTACTGGGAACTATATAAAATATATAGCTCAGAAGGCATGTGAGCTAAAGAGAAGAGAGCTCTTGTTCCTGTCGCCCAACTTCCTGCTGTGAAGAAGACATGGAAGGAGACACTTGGAGAGACATGAAGAGATACTCGGAAGAGGCACATGGGTGAGAGATAAGAGGGGAGGCTGACATGCCAGCAGTTATCTTGATGGGGTATCTCTTTTTGTCCCACATTTATAGGACCTACTTCACAACCCCTTTCCCCCGGTTCCCCCACCAGAAGGTGACTTAGACTTGTGGCAAGTTTTTGAGTCTCAGCTGCCTAGCTTTGGGCTGACCCTGTTTGGCTGGGCATTTGGATATTTCATTGGGAAACTATTATCCTTTCTCCTCCTCTCCCTCTATGCACACTAATTCTTTTAAACTTCTTTTATATCAAGCGTCTACTTTGCCTTTATGCACAAGGATGGCTGGACCCCTTTAGACCATGCAAATTTGGGGGTTCCTAGGTCCCCTTTGGTCACATGCTAAGAGCATGTTAGCATACATTTCACATACATCTCAGACTTGCATGATTTAGAATGGTGAGAGTAAATAGGAGAGTAAATAAGAAAATAGGAGACTGCCATTATAAAGGAAGTGGATAGAGACAGGGCAGCCAACATTAGGCCTTCTATTATCAAATATAAGGAAAGGCAGAAGGTGTATAATAGATGTTCTAAATCAAAGACAAAGGTATATATAGCAAAATCCTCTCTTCTTCGAAATGACTAATGCTTATTAAATAAAAGAGATGTCTGGGAGAAAACTCTCCCATGGTATGATTGTGGTCATGCCCAACTGGTTAGCAGCTGCTCCACCAAGTGAAATGAGACACAGAATAACAACCCACATGAATAATCTCTCAAGATGGGTCCTGATACATATATTTCACCAATGTTCTGGGCACACCCCAAAGAGCGACTTAATGTTCCATTAAGTTCTTGCTTTATTTATTTAAAAGGGTGTTTTCTCCCACTATATTAACGTTCCGCATGCCACTTTGGTTCAAGCACACTTTGGAAGATGGATCACTACTCGTTCACTGAAGAATTTCCCAAGTTAAAGAAGAGATATAATTAATGATGTGAAAGTAGCCCAGTTAGAAACCTTAACAAGTTATATAAGTGGAAGACAGAGAATAATGAGAACAGTCAGTCCTCTGTATTTAGAAGAGAACAGTAAAGTAGGCTCAGTAGTATGAAAAGTGTTCAGTAGACACTCACCTCCCCAGGACTCCTTGCCCTTGATTCATGCCAGGGATCTATGATGCTGAGAAAGCTGATGTATTTATCTGAAACAAATCTCTCCAGTGGTATGTCAAAAGACAGCAGATTTAGCAGATAACAGATTTCAAAATCTTGCCTGGTAATGAGGTGATTTTTTAAACAAATTGGGATACATCCTTATAGTAGAATTCTATTTACTGAAAATGATGCTATTGAGGAAAATGTATTATCTTTGCATGATGTTCACAGTAGATTATTGAATAAAAAAAAAGGTTAGGAGCCAACATGCAGGGTGTAAGCACACTTCTATAAAATATTAAAATATTTATATTATCCTATAGAAGAAATGAGAAGATGCAAAACTACCCAGAAAATGGTTTTCTCTAGGTGATAGAAACATAAATATTCTTTTGAATCTTTCTTTCTTGTTATTATTTTCTAAAATTCCAGTGTTTATTGCTTTTATAATAAGAAAATATAGCAGAGGCTTATTTCCTTTTATTGAGGTAACATTGGTTTATAATACTGTACATAGTTTAGGGAAATAGGTTTATACCTTCTCAGATGTATGTCATCACAAGCAGAGCTTTTTTTTTTGATGATTTATTTATTTATTTATTTATTTATTTATTTATGCATACAAGCACTGGGTACAGTCAGAAGTGCGGGAGGGTGAGAGAATTCACCAGAACCAGAGCAGGGAGCAGAGCAAGCAGAAGGACCGAAGTACACTGCTGAGGGGTGCAGTGGGTGGCAAGAGAGGTCTGCGCGCCAAGCAGATATATTTTTAATTAAAAAAATTTTGGTATTGTTCTTGTAAGCAGACACAAGTCCTTTATAGAATGAGGTAAAGGAAGAAATACACACATTCATGTATAAATATGTGGATGAATAAACACAGCACCAACTACAGCAGTAAAGAAAGCCCTGGGGAATCCCAAGGCAACATAGGTTCTCTTATTTCCATTTTGTTAACATGTTAAATGAGATCCGATTCCAGGAGACTAGTCCCCATTCCAGCTACATGGGGAATTTAAGTGCTTCTAGGCTTGGAGATGAGGCTTTCTTGCTCGAGAGTTGCATCTTAGAACCTAGATTCTCAAACTGTAGTAATGAGCCAGTCAACTTCCCCCTGGAAGAAGGGAATTTTTCTTCTCATGCTCTCTAGATCCTTCCAGCCTCCGCATGTGGGTTCATATTTGGTCTTGGAGGGAATGCCATCAGGGATGAACTTCAGGGGCTCCTAGACCTTCACAATCACATCGGGATTTCAGGTGACGTCCACTGCTCCAACCATCAATGCCGCCGCCCCTCCAGTTCTCATTAGCGACCACTTTACTGCTGCCACCATGTTCCAGATATGTCCGACCCCTCCCCTCCCTTCCAGTCTTCAAGAAAGAGACAGAGAGCTCCTCCTCAACAGGTTCCCAAGTCTAAAAATGGAAAGGTCCCATCACAGAGCTGTTCCAAGGTGGGGAAGAAGATGAACCCATCATCCTTCCATCTGAGCAGCCATGTCTCTCGGTACCCTTCTCGTCTGTTCACCAGCCTGATAGATTGGGGGATACAAATTGACAAATGGAGGTGAAAGAAATTCAAAAGCTGCAAGTAACATGAATAATTTATCCACTAGTTGTGGCAAGGATTAGAAAAGTGCAGTATTGATAGATTCATTTTTCAGGAGAAAGCAGAAATCTAGATGATTATGTGTAATCTTCCAACTTTTAAACATTGGCAGCCAGTTCTGTTATTTTAAACCCCAGTATAGGTCTTTCTTGATTAGGAATTCTATTCATTTTCTAGCGACAGAGATAAAATAATACTGCTTAAGGGAGAGACTAGTTCTCTCTCAACCAAAAGAAGTTCAAAGATGAGTAGTCCAGGGCTGTGTGCAGCATTGTGAGGTCATCATATTTGAATTACCTGGCTTGGGTTTCTTTGTAGCAGTTGCTAGAATATACTGGTACTTGAATTCAAGATCAGCTAGCTGAGCGCCTCTGGGTACTTTCATTTATCTTTCAATGCCTCTATTTCCCTATTTGCAAAATGAACAATAGCACTTGCTTCACAAGGTGGTTGTGAGAGTTAAATGAGATAATACAAGAAATGTACTTAGCACATAGTCAGGAGTACAGTGAGTCCCATAAATGTTGGTGTAAGACAGAATGAACTTCATCCCCATATTTTGATAACCTGGACACTTATACTCTGTAATGACAAAGCAAAATCCTTAAATGTCAAAGAGAGTTGCAAAGAGATATGGAAAAATCCTTAGATATGCAGAAAGAATAGACTGAGCTAAATTATTCTGTATTGAACCATCAGAACTCATTTTTCTATTTTTTTTTCTCTCTCAGAGCAAGAAATAACAGAAAAGGGAAGAGCAGAGAAGCAGGCAACATTTACAAATATCTGATATTAATTTTGAGATTGATAATCTTTTTGAAATGTAAGACCATCTGTTGCCATAAATCTTCAGTTCAAAGTCTGCTAGGCACCAAAATATCTATGCTGAATAGTTTTTTATGGAAATTATGAGAAGGGGCTGTGTTCTACGTGTGTATTGGTAAGGAATAAAAATGGGTGGCATATATAGGACTATATATTCTATTGAATGGACTAATTAAACAGTAATCTGGAGCCAGATGTTAATTTGTAAGAACACAAACTGCACCCTTTCTCAAATCTTGAATAGAACATTAGACTTAAAAGGAGGGGAGGAGAGTGTGGGTCTATTTTATCTAGATCCAAAGGCACAGAAATACCCTAACTGACCTTTGAGTTGAATAGTTGATGCCCACCCTCCCCCAGGCACCCACAACACTCCTATTGACCTTTCACAAAGCTGAATGGGAATCTTCTGACATTGCCTCTGCTTTTGCAGTACTGAGAAGTCAGGAAGAGCTTGAGTTGGCTGTAATTCTAAAGGATGAATGGATGCCCCTAGTGTATCCTAGCAACCGCTGAAAAGAAATCAACTCCAGTGATACAGCTTCATGAGGCAAAGCTAAAGACCCATTGAAACACGGTCAGAAGTAACACGGCCTGGACCATGGACTGTCAGACCCCAAGTGGCCAGTGTAAGCTGACCTTCTGTTAGGATTCTGCAAAGATGAAGCAAGAGCAAAAAACTGGCTTAGGCTAAAGGAGGTCTCATAAAAATGCCCCCAAATCACTATGCTAAAAGCCCAGGTTTAGAGTGAAAGCTTTAGCCCAAGAAGACCTTTCCATCTCCATAACAATGGAGGTCATAGAAGCCTGTCAAATAAATCCCTTCAATGTAATTACAAATGACATTTATTCCTATAAATAAATTCCAAATACTATTCATATAGTACTACACAAGACACTAATAATCACTTCTCACAAGAACAAAACAAAAGGATTTGGGGCGAAAGAGTAAGTCATAGAATCAAAAGAAACATCCTGGAATCAGGGCAGTTCTGAGGACCTCTAGGACCAGAAAATAGGAATGTAATATGCTGGTGCTCTTTCTTTCTCTGCTTCTCCATGGCTGTTGCCCAATTATTTCCTTAGGCTTTTTTCTCTGAGGCTAAAATCATGGCTACCAATACCCCTGAGGTTGTACATAGTTTTGTGATTTGGGAAGAAAAGAGTACTTTCTCTACTAGTTTCACTCGAAACATGCCAGGGAGGAGTCCTTAGCCTCCTATGGGCCACATGCTCCTCCTGGGTGGCCTACTGGAGCCTGAAAGGTGGTGCTAGGATTGGCTGGGCCTGGTCATATCCTCAATCCTATGTGAGGGCAGGCAGTGGGGCACTCTGGTTGGCAGGGCTGGGATGGGAAGGAAAATTCCTCAAAGGAAGAGGATGTTAATTTTAGAGAGAGAGAGAGAGAGAGAGAGAGAGAGAGAGAGAGAAAAACAAACAAACAAACAGCCCTTAGCAGACAAGTAACAAATATTTACCACATTTATCAAATCAGTGATGAGAGTGATTCTTATAACCTACTACTATCCTTTCTTAGTTTGTCTAAGTTATCTTGGCAAAGGCAAAACATGACAGAATCTGCAGCTGTCTAGAATGTACTGTGAATTTGGTTTGATCTTCCTAAATCATTTGCAATTAGCCACTACATGAAGTGGTACTTTAGCTGTATTTCTCTAAAAATATCAAATCTATTTTTTCATAAATAAAGGTATTATAGTGATAAAAGCCAACCATAGTTATAATTTAACTTTTTCAAATATAAAATTTAAACTTTTAAGGATGTTTTAATTAGTAAAATAATTCAAAATTGAGTTATTAAGAAAGAGTAATAGCGTATAAAACAACTTTAAAATATCTTTAAGCTAAAGCAGATGTGATATATACACACACTAGAATACCAGTTAGCTCTTAAAAAAAAAAAAAAGATGAGCTCTTGCCATTTGCAACATAGATGGAACTGGAAGGGATTATGCTAAGTGAAATAAGTCAGAAGGAGAAAGACAAATACTGGATGACTTTCCTTATATGTGGCATGTAAAGAAACAAAACAATGGAACAAACAAAACTAAATCAAAACAAGCCCTTGAAATAAGACTGCAGAACTGAGGCTACCAGAGGCAGCCTGGAAGGTGGAACCAAAGGAGGGAGGTGTGAGACTATTCCCCTAAATCATATACAGTGCTGTAAACTAATGTTACCCCAATAAAATAAATGTTATAGGGGAAAAAAAGTTCTGAATCATTCTTATTTTTCCTAATCAAAATGTAATTTATGATAAAGGAGCCACACACCTACACAGTGTAGACCACATGTAACACAATGAAGTTGGATCACTATTTTTTTGTTAGGACTTTGGATCTTTTTTCTATGAGTCTACCAAGATAATTAAAGTATGATGATGGTAATAGTAATAATAACAATTATAATAATGGCTACAATATGTCAGATGCTTTACCTAACGACTTGATGAGGAGGGTTTAAATCATCTGTGTGTCACAAACAAGGAAACTGAGTTCCTAGAAGTTGTTAGTGGCTCAAATCTATAAGGCTAGTAAACTCTAAGGTGGACCTAGCCAATTTAAGGGCCAGTTATCTTTTCAGTCTGCCATATTGTTTCCCTAACTCAGCAATGCTGGTGAGAACAAAATGGTGGGGGGGGGGTGCGTGTGTGTGTGGGGGGTATTTGTTAAATAGGAATCTAACAACTGAATGTTCTAAAGTTATTGTAGAATCATAAATTGTATACATTTATCAGAAAGAAGTTAACTTCTTAGACTTCAAAATATTCTCCAAAACCAGAGTAGACACAATAGCAGTGTGAAAACGAAAAAGGTGCTAACCCTAAAAGCAATTTCAAGATCAAACTCAATGAGTAAACACATACGAGCCAGAAAGGAAGGCAAGCAGTCCTTACTCAGTCAACAGTGCCTCAAGACACCCCACGGCAAAATGTGAGGATGAGATCTCAGCTCTTCACCAATTTAAAATGTTAAGGGTTTTAATTTAGGATGTGGGGACAGTGAGGGAACTGGATCAAGAACAACTGTATGACAAATATTAATGGTCATCTCTCTCAAGCTGAAAAAGACAGCTTGTAGAACTGTCTCCAAATGTAACAACCTTTTTTTTTGAGGTTCTCTGGTAAAGCCTTCTAAGAGAGGGCGCTCGTTTGAGATCAGAGAGTAGTATATATTTTGAAATACTGAGGGATTTGTGAAAAGGTCTCTACCCAGTAGTACAGCATTTTTTTCTGTGGACAAGGCTACTTTTTGCCACTGGAGAGTATTAATCATAATAGCACTAGAGAAGGTTGGGCACCATCAAGCCCAGAGTAGGGTTCTCTAAGATATATATCACTAATGATAAGCAAGAGTGACTCCTCCAGCCTTTGCTAACAGACGATTCATTTTATTCACTGCCTCTCTCCTTGCCCCATGTCTTTCGACAAGGCTGAGTCCTTGTCCAGCCTCTGGAGATGACCAATAAACCAAACAAGGTTTAATGATCATGGCAAACATGACCCTTGTCAAGTGACTGGTTTAAGACATGGGCATGAGATGCAATTCTGGCGAAGGAGATTGCCAAAAGTTTCCATGCAAAAGTTTCTAATGCTCTCTGAGAACTAGAAAGTGAGTGCAAATCCACTGGCCCATATGAACTGTAAGTAAGGAAAGAATGGTGCCCAAGAGAAGTTAGGATTGTGTGACAGAAGAAGGGAAAGGAATGATGCGGGATCAGCACTAACAGACAACTAGACATATGCTTTCTAGGAACTGAATTCTCTCCTTGACATACCTTGGGGGGTAACCCAGGACTAAAATGTTGACAACTCCAGGGGATACCATTCACATCAGTGAAATTTACAACATAGTGGCCTTATGCATCCCCTTTGCTCTAGGACAGGAGTGCCCCACCAATACCAGATATGAGGCTGGAAAACTTTTTCAACATCAGTTCTGTCCCTATGCATTGGTTAAACAATCTACCACAAGACATCCACTTTTGTAATTCCATTGTTCTCACAAGTCTTTGAACATACACAAATATTACCCTCCTGGAGCCAGAGCTGATAAGCATGGCTTGATTATTGTGTACTTAGGGAACAACTGCATTTCATCTTGTAGCTACTTGGCACCAGCGTATGAACTGACTTATATTTGAGGAGAATGTTATAAATAGAATTTTTCTGCATGTAGGTGCATGATTTAAAGCAGGAAGGCAGGCCTAAAGGCCTTTGCAAGGCAATCATAGAAGTGATTACAAACTCTTGAAATAATCATCGATCTTTCTGGAAACACATAACAACATCATGGCAATTAGTATACTTTTTCTTTCTCCTAGAAAAACTGCTCAACTTAACATTTCAGTGTCCTATTTATAACTATTTTGCCTGATTTAATGTTACTCCCCATCCAGATTTTTACTTTCTGAGATTTCAGAATCTGCTGTTCAGGGCTTCTGCTGTTTAATTTCAGTCATTATCTCTAGCAAAATTATGAATTCTAAATTGTTTTACTTGATTATATCTACATGTAGTACCTTAGTAGGTGCATAGTAGGTGTTCATTTTTTGCTGAACACATGGATTACTTACTGGATTAATTTTGTACCAGGAAGGAATAAGTACTAGGAAGAAAATTAATTTATATAAATAAAAAATTTAAAACTTCCAGGTTTAAAATAAATGTCATGGGAATGTCATGTATAAATAATGTGGCGACTATAATTAATGATACTACTGTATTGCATATTTGAAGGTTGCTAAAGAGTAGATCTTAAAAGTTCACAAAAAATGTTTGTAACTATGAATGGTGATGGACGTTAATGAGACTTATGGTGGTGACAATTTTACAATATATACAAATATTGAATCATTTTGTATATCAGAAACCAGTATGTTATATTTCAATTATACCTCTATTAAAAAAAGTTACTGCCCTTTCCTGGGCCCTGGAAACTGAATGGATTGGGCTAGTAAACCTCCAACGTGTGCCTGGCTCTGGCATCTTATGACTATTTTAACACAGGCTAGTGCTAACTCAGGAGGCCATAGGAAATGGTATCTTGTTATCAGTTCCTCAATTTATAAATGATTCAGAGGACACATCCCACATTCCCTGTAGTTGCCTTCCTCCTCCTTTTCTTCCTTAAGATTTGTGTCTTCCATTTAAGATCAAAGAGGTTACAGAGGGCAGCGGCATGCTGTTTGGTTAAGGTTGGATGTGATTACATGTTCCTGTGACTGCGGAGACTCGGTGAGGAATGTGGTGGGAAGAATTCTGGTCTCTGAGAACACATGCTTAGGTACCTGCCCTGCCCAAAGCACACACACACAATGATGACTTGAGGGAGCTTCGTCCGATTAGCGGCATACAGAACATCTTGATGAGGAGGTAATATTGGTAAAGTGATACCAAAGAGGGAACAACACAAGAAATGTCACTCTTCCAGGCAGAAGGAACAGCAAGCGCTAAGGCCCAAGACAAGGAAGAAACTGGCTCTCTAAAAAAATAGGAAGGATCTCTCTAAAAAATGTGACAGATAAGCAGTTGATGACAAAGGGAGAAGTAAGAAAGATGAGGTCTGAAAGGGAGATGGGCATGTCCTGACTCAAGCAAGGACTCTTACAGACACGATTTCATTGTCCAGGCACACTATCCTGTATAGAACAAAGCAGAAAGTAGTCTAAGCCCATCAAGGAAAGCAGATTCAAACTCAGAATAACTGCTATTTATATGGAAACAATCAAGCTTCCTTTAAGATGGAAGTTTAATGAAATGAACTTGCCACCATCAGGCTCTGCTGATCTTAGATGCGTGTTTTATGTTGGGCATTTCCAGAAGCTGACAATGGATTCTAGATCTAATCTTCAAGGTTCATTCCTGAAACTTTGATACCAATTTTTTTTTAATATATATCTATTTTATGATTTATTTATTCATGCATACAAGAACTGGGGAACAGGCCAGATGTGTGGGAGGGTGAGAGGATTAAACAGAGGCAGAGCAGAGAACAGAACAGGCAAACTGACTGAAATACACTGCTGAGGGGAGCAGCGGGCGAGACAGGAGAGGTCTGCCACACCATGTGGGTTTCTCCCCGGCCGGCCGGGATCGAACCCGCGCTGTAGAGGCTGCAGACAGCTTCACAGCGCTAAGCTCAAGTGCCTGTGCCACCAGGGAGGCCCATCAATTTTTTTTTTTACATTCTGTCAAAGGGCACTTAGGTTGTTTCCAACTCTTGATTATTGTAAATAGTGTTGCAATGTACATGGTGTTAATGTATTCTGAGTAAATACCAGAAATGGAATAGATGAATCATATGGAATTTCTATTTTAAATTATTTGAGTGGTTTGAATCTTCAAACCACTTTCCACAATGGCTACACCAATTTACATTCCCACCAACAATGTACAAGGTCTCCCTTCTCTCCACACCATCTCCAACTTGTTGTTTCTTGTGCTTTGGATAATAGACATTCTCGCAGGTGTGAGGTGATACCTCATTGTTGTTTGATTTGCATTTCTTACATAATAAGAGGGTGAACATCTTTTCATGTGCCTGTTGACCTTCTTTATGTCTCTGGAGAAGTGTCTATTCAGAATATCTTCTCATTGTTTTTGTTGTTGTTGCTTAATTGTATGAATTCTTTATATTTGGGATATTAACCCCATGTTGGATGTGTGTTTTACAAATATCTTCTCCCACTCATCAGGATGTCTTTTCATTTTGATGAGTTTTTTTTTCATTGTTTTAGTTTGTTGTAGTACCACTTATCTATTTTTGCATTTATCTTCCTTGAGGTTGGAGTCAAATTCCTAAAGACATCTCTTAGGGCTGATGTCAAATAGTATATTGCCTGTTTTCTACTGTGTAATTTATGATTTCAGATCTTATATCCAAGTCTTTAATCCATTTTGAATTTTTTATGTATTGTGTTAGTGGTTGTTTCATTCATTTGCACCTGGCTGTTCAGTTTTCCCAACACCATTGATTGAAGACTTCCCTTGCTCCACTGTAAGTTCTTTACTCCTTTGTTGTAAATTAGTTGTCCTGTATATGTCAATTCTGCTCCATTGATCACCATGTCTATTTTTATTCCAATACCATACTGTTTTAGTTAATATCATTTTGCAGTGTAGTTTGAAGTTGAAGAGTATGATACCTACATTTTTGTTCTTTTTCCTCTGGATCATTTTAGCTATTTGGCGGGGGGGGGGGGTCTTTCGTATAAATTTTGTGATTTTTTTGTTGTTGTTCTATTTCTGCACCACACCAATTATCAAGGTTGTTCTTTTCAAGTCTCTGACCATCTAGCCAGTGACTGGTTATAGAGACTGACACAGATCATGTTTCCTTCAAGTTGAAGTATATGATAAAAGGCATTGCCTGAAATCCTACCTACTGAGATTTGCCCTCTGCTCTCCTTCAAGACAATTGCTCATAGGGGCTGTGGTGTGCGAAAGTACTCATCCAGCTGGTAGTGCATACTTTCGACAGCTACAAGCTAATTGGCCAATAACGCTATGAAGGCAAGGGAAAGACTGGTGACAGCAAAGTTCAGAAATAGGGTAGTTAAGAGCACAGAATGGGGAGAAATCTCACACAAATTTAACATGCCTCCTTAGTCTGCACTGGTCCTATCTACTAGGTCTAGGTGACCTACTAGATGAAGTAGTGCTACATAAAGGAGTACTACTGAAATGCTACTTTATGAGTAGGTAGCTAGCACCTGACATCCCATGGTCTCCTAATGCTAGTAGGAAGTGGAACTGTTTTCTCAAAAGGAAAATAGCAATCTCCTTAAAGGGGGCATGGCCTTACTGCAAAATCCTGTGGGCATCTTTTGTGACTCTCCTGGTGAGACTTGATTCTGATTTTGGTAAGCATCACGATCTTCCAGATACTTTGAGAGGGCTGAGAAGCAGAACTGCTTAGACTGTAGCCTGGGTCACCTAGAGACTGTTTTTGCACTGCCATCTTTTCAGGTCACCTAGAAAGTAAGTGCAAAACACCTACATGTTATATGCTGGGTCTAATATCCTAGACACCACAAGGTACTGTACCCATCTTAGTTGAATAGGCAAGGTGTAGAAGGGCTATTTCAACATGGGGAGACCACTGAATCCCTGGGAATTTTACTAAGGACTCAAGTCCCTATATTCCCATGAGATCCAGACTATCTTTAGCATACAGTATCTTTACCAAGGCACTAGCCAATTTGGTATTTCCTGCTCTGTATCAATAGTGGACTAATGCAGCAAATGTCCTCATGTAGCAAATCACTAGAGTTGATATCCATGGGACATAGTTATAAAACTATTTCTGTCTCTACCAAGTAAAAGAAAACAATCGCTAGTGGGCTCCACAAACAAAATGGGTAAAAATACAGTGCTAGACCAAATATAAATAAATGGCAGAAGCGAAACAAAGTTGCTCCAATAAGGGTATTATTTCATATACAGCAATTATAATTCAGACCACAAGATTAAGTTTTATTATAGAATTCACTGTCATTCTCCAGAACCATTCATCTTTCTCACTGGTCAAATGGAAGACTATTTGGTGAGATGACAGAAATGACCACATTTGTAGTTTTCGACTCTTTGGTGGTTGCATTAACCTCTGTAATTACTCCAGAGATATGTTACGTTTTCACTAATTATTTTGGTAGGGAGAGAAGGCTCTAATGATCTCCCCTTGGCTCTTCCACCACAGGGAAGATTATTCCTTGGGGCAGGAAACCAATGTTAAGATTCTGTAAAGGATACCTGTCCCACCTACACTTAGGATATGAACTGTGAAATGGGGGTTTTGGGGTGGGGGAATGTTGCAGTGCTCCAGTGGGATTACAGTGTACAGTGAAATGGGGTCCATTCTGGCTCTCAAGCCTCTATTCTAACCAATGGGTCACAGTATACTCAATCCCTCCAAAGCTGGTGCTAACTTGGAGCAAGTATCCAGAGATTCCTAAAAACTCTGGATATTTCTAATTCATATCATTTGAAGAAGCAGCGGGGTAGAAGATGTATAGTACACTTATATTATTATAGCACAGCACTTAATTCAAGACATTTGGTCCTGAGAATTAACTTAGGTCTAAGAATTAAGAAACTGATATTCTAGTTTGAATCAAGTGTCTTTGTTACCTAGACCTGTAAAGTTGAGTTTGTTTTTTGTTGTTTTTTTTAATCAGGTTAAAACTGAAAACCCATTGCTTTCATTCCTAGAGGCCCTAAGATTACTTAATCACAGTGAGATATTGCTGCGGGTCAGATCATTTCCTCATTACCATCTCTTTCTACCTTCTTCCTCTGGACAATCTAATTCAGGCTAGCTTTTAGTGTTTGGTCCTGTTCTATACTCATCAAACAGCAAACTCCAGACAGCTGCCCCAAATAGCACACTGAATATTGCATTTCCTGAGGGCAACAAATTCAACCTGATCCAGCTAAGGCATACTCAGCAGTTAGGTTATGACAAAACTTAGTTTCTTATGAATGAGAAAGAGTTTCAAAAGAAATAGTTTGGTGCGCTGATTTTTTTTTTAGCTGAATAGTTCACAATTCTCAGCTAAAATGGGATTACCAGTTGAGGGGAGGAAAGGGAGGTTTTTAAAAAAATGCCCTGGATGACTCAAATGTACAGCCAAGGGCATCCTAGTTCCTTCCAGATTATCCTATACTAAGCTACTCTACCCCTTAATTCCCATATAAGAAATCTGAAGAGGTTAACTAAGTTATCTAGCTGCCCTGAGTTTCACTCATTATCTTGTATTAAGATTTGAAATCAAGGTTCATTCTTGCACTTATGTTGTCTAGTAGCCTTGAAAGCAACCATTAGACTCTGTTTCCTAGTTTTTGTTTTGAAATCACTTATTCTGTGGTGACTACTAAACAGTATCCAATAGACTTATTCTCACAGGGCTCATGGATCCTGGTGACCAAGGGCATTATCTAGACGCAGTTTGATCATTGAAGCTGCTAATTTTCCATCCAGAATACAGATGGTTGAACACTGCCTTTTATCTTACCCAGACACAACTGATTTCTAAGATCCCACATTTCTTTGATAGTCTTTTGCCTACAACTCATTCTCTGGAACCAATCTGGATATTAGCTGAAGTTCTTTTGTTTGTGAACAACAACAAATCAATAACCCTAGTCAGCTTAAAGAAATAAAAATATATTGGAATGGATCCTGGGATAGTTCAGAGATCCAAATAAACCATCAAAGAACCAAAACTCAGGAAATAATAAATCTCTGATAACCTTCCTAGAGAGCTACCACAAAAGCCATCCAGTTCTGATTACTCTTAGCTTCTGAGTCTCCAAGTTTCATATGCCCATAAGAAAACACCTGTTAAACTCAGAGCAGTTTGAGGTCTTCCTCTATCAATCAGCTGTGATAGTGAGGTAGATGGCAAAGCATAGACACCACGAGGAGCAACTGTGGACCAGGCAGCCTTCTTGGTTTGGAAGGTGACTTCAATTACCATGTTTTTAAGATTCCATTTGTAGCTGATGAATGATAAGGTAAGGGCAAAAAGGCAACGGTCACACTGCATAATCAAACAATTTTAATTGACTTAATAATCAGTAAAAGTGTAGTTACATGAAAAGTCCCATATTTTGCATGTTTATATTGTTTCTGCTATTATTTGTAAGGTGTTGAAGGTGGGACCCACTCATGAATCTTCTTTCTAGTGGTCGAATAAGGTACATATTGTTGTGGAGTGCCACTCACGTTGAATTTATGGTTTGTCCAGATGAATTTACGAGGAGTAGGTGGTTTTGTTGTTGGAGGATCATCAGTCATACAGTGAAGCCAACGGTGCCTTAAAGGGGGAAAAAAAAAGACCATTATGAAGAGGAAGCATAGCACTGTGGGGGAAGGGTGGCAAGGGCAACTCTGGAAGTATTTTGTTGCTTGAACTCTCATCTCAGCTCCATGACTTATTAGCTAAACTTTTCTATGCCTGAGCTTTTTCATTATCTTACTTCCTAAGGATGCTTAAGGATTGAATATAAAGCACCTAGAAAAATTGCCACAAATACTAGGTATTCAATAGATGATAGTTAAGGCTATTATTAGTACCATATTTCATCAAATCCAGGGCACCATCAATTTTAAGATATGCCATTGCTTTATGTGTCTCTAGGAAAGAAAAAGTGCCAATCAAATTATGACACTGTTTAGACAATATTCATTCTAATTTTAGATGTAAAAGCAGATTTCAGAATTGATGAATACAGTATTACTATTACATGCTAGAGCCTGATTCTGGATTTTTAGTATGCTCGGCTTGCTCTGGCTGATGAAGCTTTAGTTTGAAACCCAGTCAGGCTCCTGTTGAGAAGAGGGTCTCTGCAGGCATCTTACATTCAAGCTTAAGCCTAACACTTTGAAATTTACTTATATGAAAAATACTAAATCACAGCCCAAAGTTTACAAGTGTTTCAGTTTTACATCTTTAATAATTTAATTTCAATGGACACTTGCTGGAAGGTGCCAGAAATCTGGTCTGAAGAAGGAAGAAGGAAGCTGGGTGTAGCATAAGAAGGGAAGAGATAGGGATTCTGCTGTGAATGACAGAGAAAGGCAAAATCAAAGTCCAAAAGATAAAAGTGGAACAGAGCAGGAAGCCAAGCTTCCTCAAAATAGCTTAAGACTCAAAGCTCGCAAGACAGAGATGACCCTATGAGGAAGTGGAAGGAGGGGGAAAAAAGCAATTGCCTTGCTACAAGAAAAAGGGCAAGTGGACATACCTGTAAAATAACTAAGACTAAAGTGAATGAGGAAAATGTATTACACTCTTTAAGTTTAAGAATATTTGCTAGCAGTAACTGACAGATACAGCTAGGGAACTGGCTTAAACCTGTAACATAAAATATTATTACTGTTGCTGTATTTGTGCCTAGGAACAGGGCCTCCCCGGTGGCGCAGTGGTTGAACGCTGGGTTGCGAGGCTGCCCGCTGCCTCTGCAGCGCCGGTTCGATCCCCGGCTGCTCCCCGGCTGCTCCCCGGCCACCGGAGGAGGGTCCCACATGGCGCGCCGACCTCTCCTGCCGCCCGCTGCTCCCCTCAGCAGTGTGCTTCGGTCCTTCTGCCTGCTCTGCTCCCTGCTCTGGCTCTGGTGAATTCTCTCACCCTCCCGTGCTTCTGACTGTACCCAGTGCTTATATAAATAAATAAATAAATAAAATAAATCTTAAAAAAAAAAAAAAAGAACAACTGTATCACGAACAGCTAACACAATGAAGAAGTCTGTATACATTGGGCTGGTGTCTTTCTTACATCCTCCAAAGGAAACCAGGGGTTGGCAATGTGATCTGGAACAATAAACCACAACTATTAACATGAAACAGCTCTGAAACCTGTGAGAGGCTGGTGGCCAGACAGACTCTATTAGCCACACAAAGGAGGGATTTAGCTTTCAAATCTAAGGCTGTTATATAAAGCTTAAGGCACAGCAGAAATATTTAACTTTTATCTATTGAGTCAGCTTAAGTAACTAAAGAAAAATTTATTCAAATAAGTGCTGTCAAGGCTACTAAAGGTTAAAATGGTATTTAAGGAACCACACTCTAGAGCTTACATATGCCTGTTCAGATACTTCAGTGAGGAAATGAAGAAATAGTAAATGCTCATGAAAAAAAAAAAAAAAAAAAGGAAACCTGAAAATATTTATCTAGCAAGGTTACCAACAAGAGTCAAGGATACTTTATTCTCATTATGGCAATACAAAGAACAACTAGGAAACAGGAAAATGTTTATACTGATCTAGGCTAATACAACCCTTCTGTTATTAGTATTAAATAAAAGCTAAAGAAACCATACTGTGTAGATTTCTACACTAAAGAGTTGTTGCAAAATTTTCAGCTTGGCTACTTTTATTCTAATCAATTAAAGATGTCAATAAGACAGCAATGCCTAGAAAACTCTGTAGTTGGCAACAGACCCACTTCAATCAGTTATTATTTTAAACAACAATATATAAATTTTCTTAAACCTGATGGCAAATAAAAGGAGACTGACAGACAAAAAGTTATAAATACATAAGAAAAGAATAATTATAATAAAAATATACTACAGTTTTGGAAAAATACAGCATTCAAATATATTGAAATTGGAAAAAAGATATTAAATCAAAATAATTGGAAAAAAGATATTAAATCAGAATTACAACCCAACTCATGGAAATAAATCTCATAAGAGGTCTCTCCTATTTTCAATTTTTTAAAAGGAAAAAGTGCGTCAAAGAACAGGAAGGAAGATGTGTGGACAAATGCTTACATAAAAGGGACTGACTACAGATTTATTTCTATCAGTAAAAAGCACGAAAGAACAAAACCAAGAATAATAGGGAATATTTAAATAAATCATGGCATATCCAAATGACAGAAGACTAAAGCATCCTTAAAAATTGCACTATGGAGTGTATCTTATGACTTGTGAAAATGTTCATTATTTGTTATTGTAAAAAGCTAGTTAACTTAATTTATTCACAAATACTTGGATAGCATTTATAAGTCACTGTTCTGAACATTTCACAAATATTAAACTCATTTAATCTTTATAAGATTATTTTATGAAATAGACGCTGTTTTAATTTAATAAAGGAGGAAAAATGGGGCACCATGCGTTTAAATAATTTGCCCAAGTTGCTGGAGGTAAGATTCAAACCCAGGATGCCCTTTCAAAAAGCCCACTCGCATTAAACAAAAACAGGCTATACATGCATACAGAAAAGGGGTATCAGAAGTCTATCAAATTTGTCTCTGTAGTAGTAATAGATTACTTTTATTTCCTTAAGTTTTTATTATTTTTAAAGATTTATTTATTCATGCATACAAGTGCTGCAGTATATGTGGTGAGAGGATTCACCAGAGACAGACTGGGGAAAAGAACAGGCAGACTGAATGAAATACACTGCTGAGGGGAGCAGCAGGAGAGTCAGAAGAGGTCCGCTGCACCATGTGGGTCAACTCCCTGGCTGGGGACTGAACTCAGGCTAAAGCAATGATAGCACTGAGCTTTAACCCCTGGTCACCAGGGGAGCCCTAATTCCTTAAGTTTTTATAATGAACTTGTACTGTTTTATAAAAGAAAGCTAGCAGAGACTTCCTCCTGGGCCTTGCATGTCTGCTCTCTCCTTCCCGCCCAAGGCCTCTCCTGGAACCATGCTGCCAGCTCCTTAAGTCAGGTCAAGGAGCATCTGAGTTTGACCCTCTGTGTAGATTGGAGCCTGAGGTACAGAGGCCACGCTGTGGGTCAAGTGTTTGGATTAATTCAATTCTGATGCCAGTGGGACAGAAAGAGTAATCCAGAGCCTAGGAACAAACTGTGTCTCATGAGCAACACAAGTTCTAGTCAGTGAACATAGATGACAGCAAACTGAAGAAAGAAGGTCCAGACTCCCAAGGGAAATATTTCACTATAAAGCTGCTTAAAATAATGTCTTCCAAAAGCCATTCAAACAATTTTCAGCGTAACCAGGAAATATTTCTCCTCTATATGCATGAAATCAAGTTGGTGTATTGTGTTGGGATTTATACCAATAGATATCTAAAACTTAAGGGGAAAAAAACTGTTGAAAAGAAAAATCTTTCTTCTAACCCAAACCAATGAGAGATGATTTTTAAATTCTGCCCATCACCTTTCATCTACTTTGAAACTATGAATAGGTTCTCTCTACTTCTAACCCCAGGTTATCATATGTAAGCCACCATTAAAAAAAAAAAATCACTCTCTAAAGTACTCAAATGCTTTAGGGGCATATAGTTTCTTGCAGTCCATCTGAACGATTTTTTTTTTCTATGTCAATTCCAAATGCAATGTCACTCACTTAAGTTACACAGAAGAGAGTCAAACTGCCATTTTTATCTAAAAACTTCAAAAATTCTACAAATGACTATGTCTACCATGTTCTATGCCCTGACATCTGGGCACAAAAGGATTTATTCTGGAATCAAGAGCAATAGTAAATGAAACACATTAAACAAAAGTTTAATTAAAATAATCAAAACAATCTGTTCTGCTTATAATACACATTAACAGAAAAAAGGTTATAATGTAACATTCTGGAACACAGGCAATCTGACTAAACATGCAGTTTTGTAGTATTTTAAAAGTCTTTGGCTATTCTGATTTTCTAGAGCGAAACATAAAGCCAACATTAGTTAGAATCTTTTTTGTAAAGAATCTTGCAACCTACTGTACCAGGTAGCATTCATTTCAATTCAATTCAAGGATATTTAAATAAAAAACAATACAATTAGAAAAGAAAGAATGCATGGGGGGAAGGGGTATGGGAACCAAAAGGTGTTTTACAGAACAGCTACCCACTGCCTGCAAAAGCAAACACACCAAAAGAAAGAAGATAATATTCTCTGCCTTTGACAGGTAGCAATTTATTTAGGGGAATATTTTTAAAAACTGCAACAAGTAATTCAGTATGACAAAGTATTAAAAAGGACAGTTTCAAGTAAGAATAGAATTCAGAGATAAATCCAGCTTTAAATTTATACAAAAACTACAAAAGGAGTGACAAACATAAGATTTTCATATTATAAAGTATTTTATATTGTATCTAAATAAGTAAAATAACAGCTGTTTGAAGTAAAATAATTCATCTACATCCATTCAACAAGTATTTATTGAGTAACTAATATGTCCTAGACTGTTTTAGGCACTTGCAACAGTGAACAAAGTTCTTATCAACAACAATCATGGTAGTTGGGGAAATAATAGATTAAATTATATATAATAAAACACCAGGCAGAGATTAAATGCTAACAAGGGAAAAACTGGAGCAGGGAAAAGGGACAGAGTGA